ATTGCTGCACACTTTGGGCAATTTAGCATGGCCAATCCACCTAAAATCTTTGGACTGTAGGAGGAAACCAGAGCACCCGGAGGAAACCCACGTAGACATGAGGAGAACATGCAAACTCCACACAGACAGTCACTTGAGGGTGGAATCAAAACCAGATCCCCGGCACTGTGCTAACCACTGAACCACCATGCCACACGATATATAAGACAGAACTGGAAGTTACAATGAAGAGACAGAAAGATTTGCTAGGTATGTGAATTATGATGGGCCAAATGGCATTCTTTACACATACTTTGGTTGGGATACTCTGATTTTGGCATTTTTGTGTATCTAACTGGAGCTTAATTCCCTTATCTAAACTTTAGACTTTCTTATCCAGGCATTTGCTATGTACTGTAGATTAATAAATAACTGGAACATTTTAGCCTGATCTTTAAGATAGTACCAATTACTTTAGCTATTGTTCAGCATTATAAATCACACTGTTCAAAAGGAATCAACTTTTAATTTCTGCTTAGCTTTATCTTTTGAATCATTGCTCTGTAAGTCACTAACTTGGATGCCATTTATTAAATGTTCTTTAACTTTCTATGACAGTGAGTTAATTTTAATTTTAATGTTCAGAAGGATTAAAGGATAAATCCCTGAACATATAATTCCAACAAAAGACGTATTAATCAGAGAGCATGGTCTACAATCTTGCATGACCTGCTTTTATCTCATCGCCCTCATCAGATGTGGTTACCCAAATGACAGTGTGGGATAATGAAAATTATCATTTAATCAAAACTGAAGCACAAATTAAACTTTATTCACTGGAGTGTAGCAGGTTGAGGCATGACCTTATAGAAGTTTATAAGATCATGAGGGGCACAGATAAGGTGAACAGCAAAGGTCCTTTCCCTAAGGTGGAGGATTTCAAATCTCAGGGGCATATTTTTAAGGCGAGAGGAGAAAAATTTAAAAAGGACATGAAGGGCAAATTTTTGACATAGACTGAACTGCCAGAGGATGTGGTGGATGCAGGTACAGTTACAATGTTTAAAAGATATTTGGGTAAGTATATGAATGGGAAAGGTTTAGAGGGATATGGGCCAAATACAAGCAGGTGGAACTTGTTTAGTTGGGAACATGGTCAGCCTGGACTAGTTGGACCGAAGGGTCTGTTTCCATGCTGTATGACTCTATGACTCAAGAAACCTTACAAACTCTTCAGAGATTTCTAGATAGTAAAGCAATTCTTGGCGATACGAGGGATTAACATTCACTGTATAACATCAAAGACTTTTTGTGTGATACCAGCAACTAAGACCCTTTACTTCATTGCGGTTGTGATTTATTTACATTCAGTAAAGAACGTTCAATTTGAACATGTTGAAACAAGTTGCTATAGAGGCAGAGTATGATAACTGATGGGAGATTTTCAACAACAGAGTAGTCTGCATTCCTCTGATCAAAAATGGATCCTTGATTTTCACAGAAACTATTAGGCATTGTGGTCCCATCACAGAACGGTAGGTTGTTCAGCTCGAAGAATGTCTGTACTTGATTGAGCTGACATTGCATTTTGATACAACGACAGCATGGTTAAATACTTTTGGTGCCTAGTGTGTGCTTTCCAAGGCAGCAGGTGGGCATAATGCAAGATACCAACAGCCAGTTCAGGGCTGCTGCCTTCCTGTGAAGGCTGGCATTTTGTTGGGCCCCAAGTGTGATGGGACCCAAGGGCTTGACTGACAAAAGCCAAGAAACATGATCAAAATGAAAGGGCTGGCTGTAAAGAACACCAGGTATGTTCCCCACTTGCATTATTGATGGTGCTGTCAACACAAACATTATTGGAGCATCACTTAGTATGTGCACAGGTCCTGTCCATTAGATTACCATTGTGTTTGCGCACGTGCATACTTGCTGCTCTAATTATTACCCTGTGATTGTGAACACAGCAGGCAGGTAGATATATGCATGAAACTATGACATGTGTAGGCATTGATTTGCATCAGATAGAAACATATCTAGCTGTAAAAATAAAAGAGACTATTTACATAGTAATAAAAAGTAAACATAAGGCCCAACTCTCTGACAGTTTATAAAAATATAATCGAGTTCGAGTTCACAAGTTAAATATTCAAACTATAAAATAACATTTATTAATGTCAAGTATGGTGTGCTCAACATTATACAGTGCCAAAACTTGTACTGTCAAACACTGCACAGTGTCAAAATAGACCAATTATTTTACTGTACCAAAGACTGTTCTGCCAAAACTGTATCGATGCCAAGAAATACCAAACTAACTACAGTGAACTAAATGTTAATCTATGCCAAATACTGTCAAAGTAGATTTTTACTTTGTCCTTTATTCCACTGTACTAATTTACACTGACCTTTCAGAAAGACCTTTCCAAATATTTATCCAATTCAATTCTATGTCGCTTTAGCCTCTGTCTCTGTTCAAAATACCTTTCAGGTGGTAAATATTATCATAGTTACATGATTATTGTGAAAAGGACCCAGGGAAAACTATGCCCAGAATTAATATCCAGCCAGGCTTTGATGCTCCAAAAGGGGGAGACCTAAGCCGTAATTGCATTTAAAATATAAATGCAAAAATCTTCTTCAATGTTTACTTCAGGAATTTGGGAGCCACTTGGAAACAGCAATTGATTACTCTGGGGTAAATTTGTATCTTCAGCAGTTTCATCTGTCCTTCCAATGGCAGCGCTTCCACTACCCCAACCTGCCTTCCTTCCTATAGTGTTTGCCCATTTCAACAGCTTGTCTATTTTGTATCCATTTGTATCCATTGCCATCAGGTTTAATCCCTCTCCCCTGGTTATGCCTGCATCTAACCAGTTTTGTAGCTGGGTGATATAGTTCATTACTACAGCAACTCAATCACAGCTAAAGAAACAAAACCCAGATGAAATTCTCATGGAATTCACTTTAGCTCAAATATTCTATTCCTAGCACTCCTTTCAAAGCATGAAAGAAAGCATTTTCTTGAAACTAACAAATTCAGGAAATATTAACTTGAAAGGAACAGCTAGAAGACTCATCGAAGCAATGCATATCCAGATAATAGAAGCAGGATGGGCAAAGATCTGACACACAAACACAATATCTGATGGTGCAGGCGTCCCAGAGGATTGCAATGTCATGTCAATGTTAAAATCTTTGTTTTGGTTTATTGAGGGAAGAATTAACCAGTCTGAAGAGATTCTCAGGTTCCATCTCTGTTTTACAATAAGTGGTCTTGTGAGGCCCAGTGGGCCACCAAGAAAGCATTCTGTGAATGATTGCTTAAGGTTCAAGAACAGCATGGCTTCTTCCACAATCTGGCATTGACAGTGGGGAGAGGTGCACAGCGGGAGCACACCTTTGAAAAACAAAGGAATGCAGCTCACAATTTCTTGAAATCCACTCCCAGAGGGCACCTCTTTTCTGAGGAGCTTCACAACGCAAGATCAACCCTGAGGTGCTAACGGCATGAACAATCAAAAAGAGAATCAGCACTGAATAGTTCATCCATTCTGTTCTACTTTTTAAACTCACCATTATCGTCGGCAAACAGCGACTAGCCATCTGTTTCAAACTACAAATTCTGGACAATGAGAAAATATATCTGTCAAAGAAAACCACATCCCCTTGTTACATCTGGATCTACCTGCTTATTTCAGTGATTTAAAGAGCTAAACGTCAACAGTGAATAAAATCAGACACTCACCTTGTTGGCAGCAAACACTAATTTGACATTCGCACAGCATGGGAAGTTTCCTGTCCGGGTGATTGGGAGACGTGACTAGCCTGTTGCCCTGCAGCACCATATATTGCACAGCAACCCAATTCTTACTGGGGTTTCTGGCATTAACACGGCAGACTGCATCAGTACTCTGTGCTTTCAAACTCTTTATATACTCTGTATTTTGTTATTCACTTTACAAACATAAGCAAACATATTCAGGTGCCAAAAATTTCATTGATGTCACCGTCTAATTTCCACAGCAGATTTGGTTTTCATTATTCAATGAAATTTGGAGCAAGAATGCATCTCTAATGCAAGGAGTAAAATAAGTAGTCCACAGAAGAGATTGTATCACAATTAAAATCATGCTGTACATTATACATGTAAACTAATTTGAAAAATTACAATACATGAGTTTTTTGATCTTTTAATTCGACATAATATATTTCAAACTGTTGTCCTTATTTGCTTGTCCATTCAAGATTGAAAACTGAAACATGTAATCGAATGGTCAGACCCATAGCAATCGCAGATGGCAAAAAAAAATCACTGGTTCAAAGTAAATATTTCCTCCATCTGATTAACATGGATGGTATTTGCGAGTACTGGGGACAACCACCAGGAATGTGAGGCAGAGGAACCCACATGAGAAATTTAGCTCCCACCAGCAATCAAACCTTATATCCAATTTCACCAAGAGTTTCCTGGTTAGCCAGGGCTTAGCCTGTAAGAAAGGATGAATCCAAGGAAAGACTGTCCATCAGAAACATGGATGGGAGAAAAGATACAGACATCCACTGCTCAGAACTATTTTGTATTGGCTCACTCTTTGTCCTACACATTTTAACTTTAAATCAAGAAGTGGAAGTTATTGCATTCCACATAATAAGAGTGGGGAATGCCCAGGAGCTGTTCCCTGTCTGCCACGGAATTATTACAGAATGCAGCAAAAACCCTGGTTACACCCACTAGATGAACCCTGGTTACATACACCAGGCTGACCCTGTTTTCAGGAGACTTGGGTTCAAGTATCATCTACTCCAGAGGTCTCTGAGCAGGTTGGTTAGGAAATCTTGAGCCTGTGTTAACGTGCAGCAGGAAAACCTTGTTTACATGCACCAAATGACTTCTGGCATGACAACAGAAAATTCCTGATTTTACCTTCACAGCACAGCGACCATGGTACTTTGCAACCATGAAACACTACAAGAAGTTGTAACAACATTCAATTTGAGCAGAGGAGTTGCAGGCTTACCTTGCACTCTCCGTTGACACAAATATTCAAAGATCCAGGTTCGCACGGTGTTCCATCTATGACTTGAGTGGCATGGCGCACGTAGAACTTGTAACCAATGGCTCTGCAATTCAGCTCACATTTTTGGTTGTCTGATACTGAACAGTAAGAAGAAACAGAACAATTGAGATTTCAGTAGCTGGTTTTGGAAATTTTAATTGGGCCCTTTATTATAAGCTTTGGTTTTTACGCAACATGTGTGCGTTCTAAAATTATCAAACAAAAGCTCATGGGTATTTACAACAGAGAGGAGATCAGTCAGGGGCCCTACACAAAATATTGTAGGGTTTAAAATGCATTAGGATATAATTTACGTTCACCCCAAACAACAAAAGCAGCAAAGGAACACATTATCATCAGATTGACATCATGTTCAAGAAATATGGATATAGCACAGGAAAATGGCATTGAGCTGAAAGGTCACTCAGGATCTAAGTGAAAGGCAGAGCAGGCTAAAGGAGCCAAATCCTGAGCCTTGTCCAGGCCAGCAGCAAATCAATGGCTCTTGACACTGACCTCAAAGAATGAACCCACTTCTGTTCTGTGGTTGTCCCGTTTAGTTGATAGTTTTTAAATCTGGCATTAAGCCAAGGAGACAGGTCTTGGTGAGCAGTTGCAACAAGTAAAAGTCACCACAGTCCCAGATGACTGCCCTCTCATTAGTGGGAGGTTTTATCCTGAGGATCATCACACCTCAAGCAAGGGGTAAAGTTGAGAGGATGGGACCATCATGGTATCCTCAGTTGGTGCAGGTATCAAACCCACACTGTTGGCATCATTCTGCTTCACAAACCAGCCATCCAGCCAACTGAGCTAAACCAACCCACTTGACAGCAAACACATCCATCACATGAATATATCCATTCATAGCAAACAAAACAAGGTAAAAGATCTTTTAATATAAATTTTAAGGTGGTGAGGTAAACGTTACCGATATTAAGATTCAAAAGCAAATTAAAGGCAAGCTATAAAGTATTAATGTTTAGATGAGTTTCTGTGTTTATCATTGTGGAGAAGTTTGACGTGCCATAAATGTTAAATTACCTTCTCTGGGTCAGTGGGAGTGTACAACAGTAATTATGAACTCAGCATGTCATTAAAAGTCCAGTCACACCACATTGAACAATATGCAAATTATTTCAGGGGTATTTTACAGTGTGATTAATAGTGCAAAAGCGAAAGTTGTCATCAAGACATGATTCCAAGAGACATTGCACTTTGTGGGAATCTCGGCCGGGCATTCTATGGAGCAGTGTACACTCGCTGACTGCTGGATTTCCATGATATTTTATGCAGTTCTGACCTCTTAAATTGTTATTAGTATTCGTGGAATAATGACAGCAAATGCTGACAGCTTTGTTTACATTACCGCAGTAAAATCTGGGTCATTAAAACTATGGGCTAACGTCAATCCTATGCTTGCCCGCACTCCAGCCTGGATTAATGCAAGCTCTTTCTCTGATGTGAAAACCAGAAATTCGAATCCTGTCTGAACGGGCACTCAGTAATAGATGAAACTGGGTACATACTGGGTCCAATGGTGCGTCCTGGCACCAGTTAGTGGAATGTATTTCATCAGAGCCATTGCTCAATTTTAAAATCATGAAGTGGGATACGAACTGAATTACAATAAGTAGGCAACAACATTAACTTATATGCTGCAATAGCAATAAGTTTAGAACATAAGAACATAAGAACTAGGAGCAGGAGTAGGCCATCCGGCCCCTCCAGCCTGCCCCGCCATTTAATAAGATCATGGCTGATCTTTGAGACTCAGTTCTACTTACCCGCCCACTCACCATAATCCTTAATTCCTTTACTGTTCAAAAATTTATCTAGCCTTGCCTTAAAAACATTCAGCGAGGTTGCTTCAACCGCTTCACTGGGCAGGGAATTCTACAGATTCACAACCCTTTGGGTGAAGAAGTTCCTCCTGACCTCAGTCCTACATCTGTTTCCCTTTATTTTGAGGCGATGCCCTCTAGTCCTAGTTTCACCTGCTAGCGGAAACAACCTCCCTGCCTCCACCTTATCTATTCCCTTCATAATCTTATATGTTTCTATAAGATCTCCCCTCATTCTTCTGAAGTCTAATGAGTGTAATTCCAGTCTACTCAGTCTCTCCTCATAATCCAACCCTCTCAACTCTGGAATCAACCGAGTGAATCTCCTCTGCACCCCCTCCAGTGCTAGTATATCTCTTCTCAAGTAAGGAGACCAAAACTGCACACAGT